GGAAGGTGAAAGAATAAAACTTGAAACCAGCAGTCTGCACTGTCAACCACAGTGACCATTAGCCGCGTGGGGCCATTCACATTCCCTTAATTACAATGGCATGAAACTAAAAGTCCAGGTCCAAACTACAGTCATCAAGACTGTGTGCCATTTGCCAAAGAACAGATAAATGGAACAAGGGGACAGAATAGGCAGTCCACAAATGGACACACATACACACAGTGAACTGCTCTTCGCCAGAGGAGGAAAGGCAACCCATTGTCAAAGGCTTTTCTGTTTTGGACTTCACAGCTCCAGAAACTGTCAAAGGGAACTTCAGCTGCCCAGGACTCATCCCTCCTTGCCACATGCCCTGAGGACAATTACCAATTGATTGACTTTAGCCTCAACCCTGAGGCTATGGGAGGCTTTTGAACCTTTAAGAGGTGAGGTCTAGCTGGAGGAAGCAGATCACTAAGGGTGGACCTTTGAAGGCTATAATGGGAACCTACTTCCTGTTTTGTTTCTCTGCTTCTGATTGGCTATCATGTGAACATGATATGTACGCTAAGGGAGGCAGGCAACTCTGTTGCCTAATGGTCTCACCTTCCCTACAAAGTCACAGGAGCTTGCCCTTCCCTGCTCTTAGTACCCAGCTCGCTGCCTTGCAAACAGCAGGAGCACAATTAATGCTTTAGGAACTGAGAAGATGAGTGTTAACTCTGATCCAAGGGTGTCTCCAGCTGCGCCTTAAAAGTGACTCTTAATAGATCATTAACAAATACTATGTGTCAGAGACAGTCCACACTGCCCTGCCTTATAGATCTAGAATGTCAACCACACAGTAATTTAAATGTTTTAGTGGTCAGATTTCAGTTTTTAATTTTTGTATATGTATGAGTGTTTTGCCTGAATGTATGTATGTGTAGCAGGGGCATGATGGGTGCCCTCAGAATTCAGAAGAGGACACTGGATTTCCTGGAACTACAGTGACAGATAGTTGTGAGCTACCATACGGGTGCTGGGAAATGAACCTGGGCCATCTGCAAGTGCCATCTCTCCAGCTCCTATGGGTCAGATTTTAAATAAAGGTGACACTAAATATAATTATATTTGTATAATTATAAAATAATAAAATAAATATAAATACAATTCAATGATATATTTTTATTTAACCCAACATATCTAAGCCATTGTCATTTCAAGAACCAATCCCTATAAAATTAATAAATGTCCCTGGTCAACTGGGTTGCCATGACAAAGTCACTTTTCAGTATTTTAGTTTCCTCATTGGTACAGTGGGATCAGGCAGAGTCATTTCAAGTGGAGACTGTGGGCTTCCATTTCAGGCAGCTCCCTTTGTGGCAGCAGGACTGCGAGGTGGAAGCTGTTCACATGATAGCCGATCAGAAGCAGAGAAACAAAACAGGAAGTAGGTTCCCATTATAGCCCTCAAAGGCCCGCCCTTAGTGATCTGCTTCCTCCAGCTAGACCTCACCTCTTAAAGGTTCAAAAGCCTCTCAAAATAGCATCACTACCTGGAGACCAAGTGTTAAAACATGAGGCCGTGGGGGCCTGACAAATTACATTAGTAACAAGGATATCCAGTCCACGCCTTGCTTTTTGGGTTAGCCCAAGGGCTCTTGTGACCCTGGGTATGGACCACACTGTCTTGTCTACAGGAGCAGGAGGCAGCTTGTCCCATGCCCAAGACCAGGACTACATTTTCATATTTCCCCACATGGCTCTGGTTCACTTTCTTGAAGCTATTTTGAAAGGAAGGGAAGTTGTTGTCCAGGCACTCAGGGTTTAATTTTCTGTCTCCTTTGTTCTGTGAGCATTGTAGAAAGTGCCGGGCTCCCAAGGAAATTCTGCTATATACTGCCATTGGTTTCATTCTCTCTTCTCTCTCTCCAAGAAACGCAAGAAACGTTAACTGTCAACTTTTTTGCATATATAAATTTTAACAGCCCATACATGTCAGCTAATCTTTTATCCAGGAAGGAAAGGCTTATTCCAAGTGATTGAAAGTTGAAATACTCAGCTTCTCATTCTTGATGTGTGACGGGATCCCTGTGTGGACATGGTAGCTCGTGATTAGTTCAATTCCACCCCCCAAACCCACTAACTCTAATGTCTACCTCCAACGTACAAGGGCATGATGATTGTCTTCAATCTACCAAGGAAGGTAAGATAAATGTTCAGACAATCCTGGAACGCCTACAAGGACAATATTAACTGTCTTAAGAGGGGTTCTGCTGGGTACCGCAACTTGGATACCCCAAGGCTAAGGAAACATCATAGAAGATGGGTTGTGAAGAATGTAAGAGCTGGAGGATGGGGAAGAGTGCTGTGTAATGCTATCTTCTGTTGACCTGGCTATTGAACTTACGAGCTCCTAGCAGCTATGGCTACCAGCCCAAGATCAAGCCAACTAACTCCAGCATGGACACTGGAAGGAAGCTCCCCATTAACGGGGTTTTATGAACTCCACCTCTAACTGAGGAGTTATTGGCAGTTGATGGCTACTGAGGAGAAGGAGTCAGAGCCATTTATAGCCAGGGTGTGGCTACTGGTAGGTTGCCCATGCTCTGGTGGATGGCTCCACGCCCATGCGCATGTGGGAGGCACTAACTGGCACCAGTGAGTTGTTAAAAAGAAGAAAAGGGCATGAAGGTTGGAGGCAAACTTGTTGGGAGGGGGTCTGTGGGGAGTTAATGGGAGAGGAGAGTTGAGAAGTGGGTCTGATTAAGATGTATAAAACTGTCAAAAACTATTTTTAAATATTTAAAGTATAAAGACTTTTTTAAAGGGACGTATTTTGAAATATTTATTTAAAAGTATAAAGATAAAAAAGCAGGTACAGCTAGGGATATGGGAACTTGGCTAGTATGGATGAATTCCTGGGTTCAATACCTAACTCCACATAAATCCAGTGTGGTGGTGAACACCAGTCATTTTAGGAGGTGGAGGCAGGAGGATCAGAAGTTCAAGGTCATTCTGGAATCTGGGGCCAGCTTGGACTACAAGAGACCTTGTAGCAACAGATGAAAAGAAGCCTGAGACACATCAAATACTGGTATGCAACTGGAGCCTGTTGGAAGGAAGATTGAAGTCAATAAATGGAGAAAGCTGGGAGGCAGGGAAGGCCCTCAGAGAGGAGAGGCATTGACATGGAATCCAGACACATTAAGGAGGCAGAGGAGGCAACATTGCCCACCCTGGCTTGAAGACTGAACCTGTCTTGTAGGGATTATGTAAGGTAGTTTGGCAAACTCCAACTCGCATGCGTGTTACACTTCCTATCCTTCCGCCCATGGGAGACAGCATTCATCAATCCCAGCCCACACCTTTCCAACCAACCTGAGATGAGATCTGCTTTCCATCCTTGGTGTAGGAGTGCCAAGAAAAGTGAGGTAGAGCTGTGAATACCTTGTTGACTAGTTAGTAGCTAATTGGATAGGCAATGGGGAGCCATTAAAGTCTTGTAAGCATGGGAGTGACATGGTGGGAAATGAGAGCTTGTAGTTCAGGGTAATTAACTTGGCAGAGCTATCTAGAATGAATGGATTCTCGTGCTTGAAAGACCTGAGGCCAGTTATCGGGGAAGGTTACTGGGATGGTTTGGGGGAGTAATAATGTCTGATGCTGAACTGATACAGCAAAAAGGAGGTACAGATGTCAGGGCCAAGAGCTCAAAGAGCCTAGCAAGTACATTAGGATGAGGATGGCAAGGGCCTGGAGTATGAGAGGACTCTAAGTGAACTCAGAGGCTTTCTGTAACTACTTGAGCACAGAAGAAAGCAGTGTCGCTATCAGGAGGGCAGCCTGTGATCGGTGAGGAGGTCCTGGACTCCTGGATGGAGGGAAGAGGGAGAAGAAACAGTAAAGCAAAACATGGATTTGGACGTATCTCTTCTACAGAGAGTAGCTTGTCTGAGCCAGAGCCTATCGGAGAACAGAGTGTAAGGAAAAACAATCCTTTCAAAGCAAACATTGTTGCCCTTTGTCAAAGAGGAGGGTCTAAAGAAGGCTTCCGTCTCTCCAAATATTTGGGAAACTGGAAATCTTAATTAGTAATCAGAAAGGGACACCAGGAAAGGAAAGAATATAAACCCAATTACTGTGCTCTTCCGGTTTCAAATGCTTCCACAATCCAGGTGATTTACACTCTAGTAACAATGATTGACAGTCAAGAATGTGTCTAGCTCACTTTTATTTTTCCCCTGGGGGACAGCACTTGAGTTCCTGATTGTTTCAAATTGCAGAAGCAGGTACTGTGTTGAGTTAGGAGAAATTTGCCCTGACGCCCTCTAGGATCTTTCTCTGAAGGGAGCAGAGTCTATCTCAGTGTTTCCTTTTGTTTTGAAGCAGGGTTTCACTCTGAAGCCCGGGCTAGCCTGGAACTCTCTGTGTAGACCAGTCTTGCCTCAAACTCACAGAGATCTGCCTCTATCTTCATTGATGAAGGCCAGCAGGGCCTCCCTGCCCTTTCTTTTCTGGAAGATGTTTCTAGAGTGACCTATTTCAGTTGGTTGAAGGAGAACCATAAAGGAACCAACTGAAGAACCAGAATCTATTGTCACCACTTTGCTACACCAGCATAATTCATTCCTACATTCTAAAGTTTAGTCTTATACCCCAGATTACTGTAACTACCACGGGCCTTATCACAGAAACTTCTCCTTATAGCAATTGGAAACCTACATAGAAAAACGGACACAAGGCAGAGATCAACTGATCATTACAGCTCCTGCATCTATGGCTCCAGAAACTTGTGGAAGAGGAGGCAGAAGGATTGTAAGAACGGGAAGAGCAGGAGGTCTACTGTGAAACAGTGTCTCTTAGAAATGGCTAAGCAAAATCAAAACAATATCATTATCAATGGATATACTAATGTGGAAGGGGTTCCATTTATTGACTGCTGGAAAAAGGAGAATTAGCCCATCCCAGGGACGAGCCCCATTGGTTGTCCAATGTAGAGTGGTCAGCTTTGAAACCCTACACACAGACAACAAAAATGGACTCATCGGGTTCTTTTTATTTGTACATACATATAAGCAAGCAAGCACATGCGCTCGCACACATATATACATATATACACCCACACATATATACATATATAACAACTATAATCAAAGATAAAAGAGGCAGTCAACTTGGAGGGGGTAGGAGAGAAGGTTAAGTTGGAGGAACTGGAGTAAGGACGTGGATGGGGGAGTGATGTAATTCTATTTCAAGTAAAAATTTAAAAATTAAAAACAGTATTCTAAAACAACCAGCAGATGTATTTTGAGACTGTCTGTCCCAGAGGAAGTTGTCTATTAAGCTGTGTACTTTGAAGCATTTGTTTACTTAGAAAAGTCAAATGTGACCGTGCTAGGTCAGCTGCTGCAAGAACACCAGCAACAGGCAAGCCAACAGTCAATTCTGAGAGTGGAAGCTGCTCCGAAAATCTGCTTTGGTGTCTGGGGAAGCCACACATCTGATCTGAGATAGAGGAGACAATTACAGCATTGTGTACAGGCACCAATGACAGGCTAAGACCACAGATCCTTGCAGAGCCCAGACGAAGGTGTCAGAACCCTTCCCATCCCATCTAGATCAGTTGGAGAACAGACTATCAAACTATTTAGCTAGATTTATCTTTCTCTCTTTTTTAAAAGCATTTTTTTCAGAACCAGAAAATTAGCAAAAGTGCAGTGTTCCCCAGTTCTCCCCACCCCCACCCCCCAACACACATATTTTTGCCACCTTCTGGTACATAATAATATTTGTGTTGTCAAAAATTTCAGGCTTTTCTGGAAGGAAAGTGAGGGTGTAAAAATGGGCTGGTTTCATCGGCGTCTTTGGAAATAAAAGGAAATGGTGGCTTCACTACTGAGGCAGAGAATTTCTGCTGGCTCTCCATGTGCGGATATTCACTAGCCATCCCATTAGTATTAGTACTTTGTACTGGAGTTTGCGGAGGAGGCACACAGACTTAATTCTCAGCTCTCTTTGAGCATCAGCTAGTAGATGGGTGAGCTCCAAGGGAAGGAAAGTACAGAATCATGCCTTATAAAGATAAGACTCGTTAATTATCTGGATTTTTTTTATTATCCAGACGTTATTAATACCTCTCCAGGATGTCTGTCTGCTGTGGATGTGCCTGTGCATTTAACAGCAAAAGTACCAATGGGAATAGAAAACTAGCAGGCACACCAGAGTTCAGATGCAGCTAGGCCCGTTGCATCGGCTCAGAGTCCTTCACCAATCTGGCCAAAGTTTGCTTCACAAAATAGTACACTGCCAAATGGTTTCTGGATTCTTCTCGGAGAAAAACTGCAAAAGAGCTGAAAGAGACCTCTTTCCATAACATTAGTTACTGGCTGGCCATACGCATCCTACAATCACAAAATTTATTTTAGACCCAGTCATATCTAAGACTGAAAACCCCCGACTGTCCCATCCCAAAGTAAAAAGCGCCACGTTCCTCGTCCCCCCTTCTTCCTTCCAGGGGGTGTCAGTCAGTTCCTAATTCCCTTTTAATCTCTCCCCAACCTTGGACCAGGCTTGCAGAGAGCTGCAGTTACCAGCAAGTGCCCCAACGCGGATAACCGGATTTGTCTCCTCCTCCCAAGCTGGCTGCGGATAGGGGACACCGAGTTACTGCCCCCGAGGGAATCTCAAAAGTAGACAGAGCCACACGTCGCCGACCGTTCATTTCTGTCGCTGGGTTAAAGAGGAGAGGGAGGATCGGGGCGCAGGAGACACCCCCTCTTTCTCCTCCCTCTCTCTTCCCCACCTCCCAAATTTGGCAGCCTTGTGTGGCTCCCGGTCTGGGGTCTGGAGGGTGTGGAGTGTGGGTGCGGGGGCCGGCTGGAGACGCTCTCGCTAGCGCTGCCTGTGGCCAGACCCGCCTCGCGTCCCCTCTCGGCCGCACACGTCCACCGCCACTCGCGCGCTCGCTCGCGCTCTCGCCTGGCTGGGTCCCTCCTGCTCGCCCGTCTCCTTTTCCTTTTTTTTTTTTTTTTTTTTTTTTTTTTGGTACCATAGAGTCGCTCTGAAAACAGAAGATAGAGGGAGTCTCGGAGCTCGCCATCTCCGCCGATCTCTACATTGGGAAAAAAAACATGGAGTCAGCTCCGGCAGCCCCCGACCCCGCCGCCAGCGAGCCGGGCAGCAGCGGCTCGGAGGCGGCCGCCAGCTCCAGGGAGACCCCGCTGACCCAGGACGCGGGCCGCAAGAGCGAGGCGCCGGGCGCGGGTCGCAGGCAGAGCTACGCGAGCTCCAGCCGAGGTAGGAGACGCAGCGACCGGGCTCCTGGCAGGGGGGCGGCGGGAGCAGTGCGCCGAGCCCGGAGGGGACCGGGTACCCCGGGGGAGCGCGCGCCCCCCGGGAGCGGGCAAGACGCGGGGTCCCCGGGACCGGTGCGCGCGCGCGCGAGCCTGTCGAGGTGCCCTGAGCGGCCGGCACCCCCGCCCCTCCCCCCGCGGGGCCCCCCACAAATGTTGCAAACTTTTGCAAGCCAGTGCTGGGCTTGCAGGAGAGGGCGAGGGGGGACAGGGACGGACCGGAGCGTTGACAGCCAGGCGACTCCAACACCATCTCCCCCTTGATTGCATGTTTTATTTTCTGCAAAGACGAGCTGTCCAAATTAAATACGATTTCCCCCCACCAAAAAGAAATCGAGACAGGGGAGTGGGGGAAAGAAACTTTTAAAGCGGTAGTGTCCTTTTAAGAAGGGGGAGGGGGTCTGTTTGTGGCTACTCGCTTCCACGGTTACCTTTTCTGCTGTTGACAGTTTCTCACATACCCACCCCCCATCCCCCCCGCAGCCGGAGCCGCGGCGGGTGTTCGAGTCCTCCCTCTCCCATGAAAGCTTGAGGAATCGGGAGGAGTGGGAGACCTAGAAGTCTCTGGGGACGGAAAGGGGGCGCTCCCGGGGCTAAGAGGGGGCGACGCGGGCAGCTTCTCTTCTGGAGCTCTGGAGATGGGTTTGGAGAAGAAGCCAGAGGAATGGGGTCCCGGCGCGCAGGATGTTATGGAGTTGCCCTGGTGGGGCGCGGCGACCAGGAGAAGCGCAACTTTGTAGCCAGGGGTTCGGAGCCCAGAGCCCTGGAGGAGGCTGGCAGGGGGCGTGTACAGCGCGCGGAGGGAGGGCGGCAGTGGAGTGGGGTGCTTCACGCGGGATCCGAGGGAGAGGCTGTGACAGCAAACAAACGCAGAGAGAACACTGAGAAAAGCACCCAAACTTATTTCTGCTTTGGGAATCCTTCCCTCGCCGCGATGCCCAGCGTTTCTGCGGGAACCTGGGGGTGATCAGAGTTGAGTGTTTGTGGGCCTGGGCTAACAAGGCTGCCCTCGCCGGGTCATTGGTTCATTTCGTGTTGCTCTCTGAAGTGTGTGAAAGAGGGAACCTGGGGAGACAAGGGTGCTTGCTCCCCTCCTACCTTCCTTAAAGTGGCCTGATCAGAGAAAGCTGACTCTTTTCTTAAAGGTGTCAGAACCTGCTGTGGGATTTCCCCCACCTCCTCCTTCGGGGGTGGGGGGATTATTTATTTGAATGCTCCGGGAGTTTGCAAAGAGCAGGAGGAAGCTGCAGCTTTAATTACTGTTGTAAATAATGTATAAATCACGCCTGTCACTCCGGAGGAAGCGGGCTCCTGCGAGCCACCGCGGGGCTTGGGACCTAGAGGTGCTCTCCAGCCAGGATCTGGCGGCTAGGGGGCCTGAGGAAAGGCAAAAGAGGGACCGAGAGCCGCTCCCTTGCTCTCCGATGTGCTAGTTGGAGGTAGGAACATGGCTGATCATGTGCTGGCTGTTTTACAGTATTCCCCCCTCCCGCCCCACCTTAGCCACACCCCCTGTCCGGGCGCTTTCCCATTCACGGAATTCGAGTACAGTAAAAGCCATCAGGATGACATATGCTGGGGGGGGGGGGGGGGGCACCATTTAATTAAAGGCGATTTCCGAAGAATGACTGCGCTGAGGCTCGGTTTGAACCGGAGGAATGGGGCTGGCAAGGACCGGGACGAAAGGAAAAGGGGGTGAAGACTTGGGCTGGGGGGCGGCCGCAACCGGCCACCAGCTCTGCGAGTTTGTGTGCAGAGCTTTTGGCTGCAAAGAGTCTATTTAGAGCCCGAGATTTGGAATGCAAGAGGGTTATGTAACAGGGTTAATCAGAAACGCTGGAGAAAATCCCCTTCATGTGTTTGGAGGCTTTTTTTTTTTTTTTTTTTTTTTTTCTTAAGAAGGGGATGCAGAGTATCTAGGAAGCGGCTCTAATTTCTGGTTTGTACCTTTCCTCTTCCTTTAGCCCCTCCCCACCTCCCCTGCTTTATTAACATCTTCAGGTGTTATTCCTGCCAGAAGGTGTGTTCTTGCAATAGATTGGGTGGCAGGCTGCAGAACCGACTACAAATCTGTAACTTGCTGTTACTGCAAATTATATAAAGCCGGGGAATTTGGTGCCCCCTTCCAAAGCTCCAAGGAACCAAAATAGGAGCAATGTGAGTCTTACAGGATGACCTGCTGACCCATATTCCTTTACCCCCTAGAGCCCCCACCCCCATTCTTTGAAAAAAAAAAAAAAAACCTGTCCGTTTCTCCGAAGAGATTTAATGGGAAGGGGGAAGTAAGGCCCAGACACTCCACTCACATCCTGCACGCAGGCACTAGGTTACATAACAGTCTGAATGGAAAAAAGGAAGGTCAGACATGGAGGCATCCTTTAGCCAACACAGCAGTAGTAATATCTTCCAGGAATTACTTGCAGTTGCAGACCTTGACCTCAGATGTAGCCTTTACTTCTCAGGGGTGCCAATCTTGGTGTGTGTGTGTGTGTGTGTGTGTGTGTGTGTGTGTGTGTGTGTGTGTGAGAGAGAGAGAGAGAGAGAGAGAGAGAGAGAGAGAGAGAGAGAGAGCACCCGGGAGAAAAAGAGAGACTATGGAAGTATGCTGGGTAGTTGAGAGTGATGTGCAAATGGGAAATGTTTGGGTTTTGAGATGATGTAATGGAGTTGGCAGAATATGCAACTCGGCTCCCGGAGTGTAAGCATAAGAAAATTGGAGCTGGCATCCCATATTAATGTTGCATAAATTACAATATCAGAAAGAAATTAACCTACACACTAGGTGATTATGCCTCTTAAATACTTAAAACATAAAGGCACAGGCTCAAAAGGCAAAGCAAACATCACCACCTCACAATGAGCCCTTTCCACCTCAGAAGGGTGAGTGGAGTTCCCTGGTGAAAGCGGACGCTTTCTGACTTGAGGAGGTGTTTTCCTCTGGATTTGGGGGCTTGTTCCCAGCCAGCGGATGCTTGAATCCTACAGAACTGTGGGTGTATTCTCATGACATTGATGTGACCTCATGAGATATTACCTGGGTAGATTTGAGGCTGTTGCTAAATTCCTATGTCCTGGGAATCTAAGTATGAATGGATTAGAGGCCTTCAGTGCCTGGGCTTTCAAAATCAGATGTGTGGTTTTATAATCTGCAAGTTGATCTCCCTGCATTCCTTCCAACTCCAAGGAAATGGTAGCGGTTTTAATGAAACCCTTCCATTTTCTAGAAAGTATTAATGATGGCTGGTGCCATTCAGCTCCATCTTTACAGTACCGCCGGGAAAGAGGTGGAAGAAAATAAAAGACAGGCAAGAAGCAACATGGCAAGTAAAAATGAAGTGGAAAAAAAAAAGACTGTGAATCTTTAATTTAACAAGGCTTTCAGGGACTTTAGGGAGCTGGGAGCACTGTGGTATAGCCGGCGTTCGACGCCCTTTCCCAGAACCTCCATATTAAATACATGGCGGACGCTTACATGTTTTACCCTCGTAGGACTGTGTACCATGTAGTGGGTTCGCAGGGCTGGAGTGCAAGGCTTTTGGGGCAGGCCAACCTAAGAGAAAAATTGAAACCAAGGGATGGGCTGAAGACTGAAAAGCTGGGTGGGACGGAGGGACAACCCCCTGGAAGCTCAGCCGAGAGTGACTTAAAAACCCAGTTAACAGGGCCCACATGGCTCTGCTCTGCAACCTAGAGGAAGTCTAGCACTCAATAACTCCTCCGCTTTGGAAGTGCATCCCCTCCCTTCTTCTCACCAGTCCCTGCTGATTCACTTTCTAGAAAGTTCTCTTACCTAGCAGCAATATGGCCTCTTTTCTAGAGATGAATTTTCAGATCACCTTTGCTGGCATGGTCCCTGCTCTCTATAGCGAATAAATGATAGTTTCCCTGACTGGGAGAAAAAAAAAGTCCTTTCCCAGAGGGATGGGATGATTTGTCTTTTTAAACTAAGGGACTTTAATTTTCTGGTAAATTGCTCATAAAAACATTTATAATTATACCCTTTAAAATGCAATGGAATAATTTTAGAAAATGCATTTCACGATAGTTAGGATAACCTTTCTGTTGCTTCATCCTAATTTCTTATAAAGAACTGAATTATTAATCTAGGCTTCAAGTCCTGAGTGCCTAAGACACTTACAGCAGCCCCTCCTCTGCTTTCCAAACCCCATTGGCATTGGGAAGAGCCATGGGCTCTAGAAAATGTCTTCTTCTGACTCCCAAGTGTGGCTGATGCCTGTCCAGGAGCTGGGCTCTGACAACACTTCCGGGACCCTTGACTGTTCACAGCACACAGGTGTGTGTGTAGGGTGGGGCACAGGACTCCCCTTGATGTCAGGCAGACATCGTGGCATGGAGAGCCGCAAGGATGCTAATAACTAGAGTTGTGCCTGTGGATAAAAATTCCAGAGGATTTGTGGAGACAGCTTAATCACATTTGGAAACAAAGTCACCTGTGTCGGAAGTTAACCCTTGGAATACAAGTCAGAAAAGCCCATGTGCCATCCTCTGGTCAATGTCAGATAGAGGGGCACATTTTTTTCTCTCTCTAAAGCCCCTATTTTGCATTTAGGGACTCGTGGTGTGACGTTGGAAAGACTCACTGAGTTGCCTCGTAATGACCATCATATTCGCATAACATGAACCCCATTTTTAAAACGCCACTCTGTGTGTACATTCTCATATGTGGGCATGTGTGTACATAATTGTGTGTGCATTCGGGGTCAGAGGTCAATGTCAGGTGTCTTCCTAAATTGCCCTCTGCTTTATTTTTTTCAGGTAGGGTCTTTCATTGGACTTAAAGTTCAATGATTCTGCTAGGCTGGTTGGCCAGTGAGCCTCAGGGATCCTCCTGTTTCGGCCTCCCCAGTGCTGGGATTATAGGTGTGTTTTTCCACACCTGGCTTTTGTACATGGGTTCTGGGCCCTTTACCAGCTGAGCTGGCT